TTCTGTTGTACAGAGGGTCGCTATGAGTCGGCACCACCACCACCACCACCACCACCAAGCCCAGATTTTGATTCTTGGGTCAGATATAAAACTGTTTACCTCCCCCACCCTCCCCTAACCATTCTACAAATAGCATCTCAACATGAGATTTAATGGTTTTTGGCCCCCTTAAATTGCCTATGCCATGTAAATAAACATGTCAGAATTTTTAAAAATCAGTGCCCTCACCCCTTTCTTGGGCAGAGTATTGTGATCATTCAAGGGCAAGTATAGGCAAATCGTTCATTCGTTCACTGATCTGTGGAACAAATGACTGGGCAGCTATGTGTACCAAGTACTTTCCTAGGCATTACAGAGAGATCCGTTCATGGACAGGACACAGAAAGCCCTGCCAGTATGGGCCATTCACCCAGTGGGAGGGGCAGCAAGTGTGATGATAGAACACATGGGAAAAATGGGTCCGTGTGAGGATCGGGCAGAGGGAGCCTCCTGGAGAAGGTGCCATTTGCTCCTGCCCCCGGAGGAGGGGAACGTTGTTCAGACAAGTTTGTACAGAGGTCCCCCAAATCAGTGGGCCTACTGCCCCTTTTCAGAAAACAAAACAAATTAATCCATGCCTCTTTAGCAATGAAAAACTTTTGTACTAGCGCCCATAATCCAGGATAAGGTGCAGGTACCTGCTTATGCAGGCCTGGTGGCCTAGTAGGTTATGCGCTGGCTTGTTAACCACAAGGTGAGCAGTTCAAAACCAGCAGTCACTCCTTGGGCAAAAGACAAGCCTTTCTACTCCTGTAAAGAATTACAGTACAAACCTTTAAAACCCACAGGGGGCATTCTACTCTGTCCTACAGGGTAGCTATGAGTCAGAATAGACTCCAGGGCAGGGAGTTTGTTTAGATGGTTCCAGTGCCCACCAGGGAGCCCACCAGTAGCCACCCCTTTGGGAACCCAGGAGTACAAAAGTGCAGAGGTGAGCCTGCACCTGAGGCCTTGGAGGGAGGGAGGAAGGAAAGGCAGGTGAGGAGAGACATGGAGAGCCCTTGGGAAACTCTAAGAATCATGGCTTCTACTCTACTAGAAAGGCTTCACGGGCCGGACACGGGCTCACTTAAGCCATCTACCAGGGCGAGTTCTTCTCAGCTGCTACGCTGAGAAGGAAGTCTGGGGAGCAAGTATGGAGGGAGGAGGCCAGTTGCTACTGTACAGATGCAGAAAAGGGATGATCGCGGACCAAGGTGCTGAGTCTTCTAAGAGAAACGGTGTGATGGCATGATGGATTTGCCGTGGGGCGCGACCGAAAGTGAGGTGCTTATCAAGGTAACTCAGAGGATGGCGTCTCAGTCTGTGGGTGGGCCGGAGAAAACCTGCATTTTCAACCTGTAACTGGTAAGATAATGATCTTGCTTTTTAAAAAAATTTATTTTATTGGGGGCTCTTACAGCTCATCACAATCCATACATATATCCATTGTGTCAAACACATCTGTATGTATGTTGCCATCATTTTCAAAACATTTTCTTTCTACTTGAGCCTTTGATATCAGCTCATTTTTTTCCTCCCTCCCTCCCTCACGTCCCCTTGATTCTTCTTTTTAAATGTCTTACACTGACTGCTGTCTCCCTTTACCCACTTTTCTGCTGCCCATCCTCCTGGGAGGGTGAGCTGTACATTGATTATTGTGATAGATTCCTCCTTACTCCCCCACCTTTCCCTTATCCTCCTAGTATCACTGCTCCCCTTATTGGTCCTGAGGAGTGTATCTGTTCTGGATTCCCTGTGCTGCGAGCTCTTATCTGTACCAGTACACATGTTCTGGTCTAGCCAGATTTGTAAGATAGAATTGGGGTCATGGTAGTGGGGGGAGGGGGGAGCATTAAAGAACCAGAGGAAGCCACCAGTTGAAGATCCTGAATAAGCGGCTTGACTGATGAGCGCAGAAGGCCCACGAGCATCCAGGAATACAAGACCGCTGCTTCTTCAATGAGGATCAGTTAACAAACACGACCCGCACTTTTTTTTGCCTCCCGCCGAAGACGACATTCTTCAACTGTTCAGGTCTGGAGCCTGCATCTGGCGTGGCTTCCTCAGCAACAGGCCCTCATCTTCATGCACATGGTGGGGGCTGTATGAAAGGGGAGACCATGGGGAGAGGAATTAAGCCCTTCCACTACTTTCTTCTGAGAAGAGAGAAGCTGTGGGCCAAGTGTGACAGCTGATCGCCAACCTGTTACCTCCTTTGGAGACATGGATGGCATATCCCCTTTTCCCCTTGTATTTAAAGAACAAAGACCAAGCACAGGCGCTGTAGACTGGAACTTCCCATCACATCCTGTAATTGTGGCAGGGGCTCAAAGATCCTGGTGACTGTGGTTAAGACAATAGCCAGAAGTAGGCAGTCAATGGACACATCCACCACAACCTACGGGATGCCCAAGGACATACCATAAGTGCATCCTCCTATAAGAATCCTGGCTGTGGCTTATTTCTGCTAGATTGTTGGGTGCTTTATTTATTTACTTTGTTGTGGACAGTTTCTGCATGTACAAATCAGGGACACCGATTACGCTCTTCAAGCCACGCAACCATTCTCATCCTACTTTTCCAAGGTGCTCCTCTTCTGTTAACAGACTCTCCGCCACCTAAAGTTCCTATCTATTCTGTCTAGTTGTCTTCCTCAATTCCATCTTACCTTTTGAGGGTAAGGAGCCCCTGGTGGCCCAGTAGTTATGTGGTGGGCCACTGAGAGGTGAGCAGTTTGAAGCCATC